GTAATATTACATGTTTTTTGCTTCAATCTTTTAACAATTTTGTTGATATAATCTACATACCATCACAAGTTCACCCATTCAAAGAGTAGAGCTGAATGATTTTTAGTTTACAGTTGTGCAACCATTATCATTATTAGATGATTAAATGATTTTAAGACCTTTCAACCACTCTAAAAAGAAACCTTATACCTACATTAGCAGTTACTCCTCATGCCTTTTAACCACTGTGTCCCCTGCCCTCAATCCTCAGCAACCATAAACTATACTCTTTCTCTTCTAGATTTACCTAATTCTGGACAGTTCATATAAATGGAATCATAGAAAATGGGGTCTTTTGAGCCTAGCTTCTTTCACTTAGCATATGGTCTTGAGATTGATCCATACTGTGTCATGTACCAGTTCATTCCCTTTTATTGCCAAATAATATTTGACTGTATGGATACATTCTCATTTTATTTATTCAGTTGATAGACATTTGGGTTGTTTCTACTTTCTGCTTGTGAATAATGTTGTTATAAACGTGTGTACATATTTTTTTTGTGGACATGTGTTAATTTATCTTCGGTATATACCTAGGAATGGAACTGTTGGGTCGTATTGTGATTCTATGTTTAACATTTTGAGGGAACTGCCATCCCGTTTTCCAGAGTGACTGTACCATTTTACATGTCTACCAGCACTATATGAGGGTTCTAATGTATTCACTTTTGCTCGAATCTTAAAGAATAAGAATGATCTCACTCTGTGATATCCTTACCCTCATGGAACTTACATTCTAGTGGAAAAAGAAATAAATAGAAACAAACATGCTAATTTCAGATAACTAAGAAAAAGGAGAAAACAAGAGAGTAATGGAACCAAAAGAAAAGGGTGGTCAAAAAGACCTCACTGAGAAAGTAAGGTTGACCTGAAATATGAATAGCTGGAGGAGAGATATTCCAGGCAGTGGAAACAGCTAGAAATAAAAGCGATAAAAGAAGAAGTTTGGCACGTTCAAGGAACAAAAAGGAAGCCAGTGTGGCTGATGCATAATGAAGAGGCAGAGAAAGCAGGAGATGAAGTTGGGGAGGTAAGCAGAGGCCAGATGATACTGGGCCTCAGAGACCACAGTAACGTCTTTGGATTTTAAAATGCCACCACCCCTTGTATTTCTTTTCAATCCTTTGTATTTCTTTAAAGATAGGTGTTCATCTGTGAAAATATTTATTAAACTGTCACATATCTTCTGATTGCATCTAACAGTACCAAAGATTAAAGAGACCATTTGGGTAAATAAATGCGATTCAAGGGGCATCTGGGTAGCTCAGTCGGTTAAGCAGCCGACTTCGGCCCATGTCATGATATCACGCTTCATGAGTTTGAGCCCCATATCAGGCTCTGTATTGACAGCCCAGAGCCTGGAGCCTGCTTCAGAATCTGTGTCCTCCCTCTCTCTGCCGCTCCCCTGCTTGCACTCTATGTCTCTCTCTCTCAAAAATAAATAAACATTAAAAAAAATAAAAATAAATAAATGCAGTTCAATTAGTATCACTTTATTCTGTGGTCCAGGAGAGAACACCTAAAATGTGACTACCAATGGCCTTTTAGTAACAAGGCAAGAGCACAAATTTATCACCTAGTCTTAACCTATTTAAGGTGTATGCCTTACTGACAGTAACTAGCACCTCAGTCTTAGAATATTAAGGTCATTTTCAATAAAGCAAGCTAGTAAGAATATAATTGCAAATAATTCTCATGATTTAAACTTAGATTTCATTTTTTCAAATTGAATTCTGACTGCTTTTCTCATTCTATTAAAAGTTAATATTCAACTAGTAAACAAAACCTATGGGCACGTGTTTATGTTACTTGAATTTTTTAAAACAGTAAGTTTTCACATGTTACTTCTCTACTTGGTTTTTTCAAAGGAAAAGGGTTGTTAAAACCCTGGTCACATAAACACCACTCCTTTGATAAAAGAACCTCTCACCTCGTCAAAATTTATTAAGGTGAAATTCTCTTCCACATGCCTCTCACTCCAAGCACTGTGTCCAGACTATTTGCCAACTTCATACTTGTTGATCCCAACTCTCCCCAGCTCCCCCACCCTCAACTCCCCTCAGCTTTAGGAGACACATTCTCCACCAGGAGAAATCCAACCAGTTCTCCAAGGTCCAGGGCAAATACTCTCCCTTCTACCTCTGCTTTCCAGTCCTCTTTCCTGAACAGAACTGACATCTCACCTCTGGGTTCCTGTAGCACTCACTTCTGCAACTCAGATACCTAGTTTGGCCTGGTCTATAACAATATATGAATCTGAGAAATACCATCACCAAACTCCTGCCCTCAGCATACCTTCAAGTATACACAAAACTATTTGCAATTCCTGGGTGCTCAACTGAAAATCACATCCATTTTAGCACCGTTAGGTACAGTATGATACCAAATCATCACAAAATGTAAAGTCAAGAGTTAAGCCCTCACTGGACACGAGGAAGGGGGCTTCGTTCCACCCAAATTCAGACCAAAGTCTTCAGTAGTTTCTCAATAATGACATGATCCCATTCTTCATTTTAAATGAAACTTTTCCAAAAAAAAAAATAAAAAAATGAACCTTTCCCACTCACATTACCTATTCAAGAATGCTCAACAATCCTTGCCATTCTATCTAAAGTTTTGGAGTGATACGTATTATCAAGAATTTATGGCTGTAAACCCAGAGTACAGAGAAGGTGAAAGATCCACAAAAAGTCAATCGCAAGCTACTGACAGGAGCCAAAACACAATTACATTCGGTGTTGTACCCACAACTTACACCAACGTCAACAACAGTAACTTTCAAAAGCATGTGATGGTGCTTGGTGTAAACATTTGAATTAAAAAACATATAAAATACTTCTAGTTCTGGGAGTTTATTTACAATATAAAAGTGATTAATCCTTAATCATGCGGATCACGTTAACAGATTGTTTCAAAACTCATTGTGCCGGCAAAATATAAAAGTTTGGGAATGCGCACACTAACCACCCAATCATCTGCTCTTCGTAATGGCACTGACCAGAAACCCATCCACAAGAGCCACTTTTTCCTTCTCTATTTGTTCCCAGAAGCCCAATGGACTAAACATTATAGCTCACCCCCTTTTCTAATTTCAGCTTGCATTTAAGATAACGCTTTTGTTTCATTTACAGCTCACATGCTGCTGACACAGCTGCCCCTTCTTTGTAATAAACACAGGGCTTCTATACTTAAAAATACAGTGAAACTTTGTTGGAACATCCCCTCCCCAGTCTTCAGCCAATTTTCTCTCTTCCAAGCCCCACCTCCACCCCAAGATTTTCTATCAGAGGCGCTCAAAACATTAGACCCTTTGGAAAGTTAAATTTCTTCTTGAAAGGCATCTCATCGTAGTGGTGTTTTTTTTTTCCTCCGCAACATGTGCGCGCGCGCGCTTTAAAGCGGGGTTGGGGGGGGGGGGACGCGCATTCCCTTCCCCAGAGGCCTTCCCAGGCAGAGACAGGCACTCGAGCCTGTGGCTCTGGAGTCCGCGGTACTTTTCTGAGCTGCGACCAGCGCCCCCGAGGTCAAGCTGGGACGAGCTGGCCGCTGCGGGAGAGCCGGGTGGACACGCGGCCGGTCGGGCGGTGACGGGCAGCTGCGCGGACGGGAAAGCGCGCCCGCGGGCACCGAAGCACGCCAGACCGCCTCGCCGCCGCGTGCCCCGCGACAGGAGGCTTTGTGCCGGGGGCCGAGGGGGGGGTTCCCGTGAACAACAGCCGGCGGAATGAGAACGAGGACTCCGAAAGGGGCGCGGGCTCGCGGCGGGCAGGGGACGAACACGCCCCCGCGTCGCCTGGGACCGTCGGAAAACTGCGGCCGCGGAGGGTGTGGGCCCCAGGGGGGCGCTGGGAGGAGATAAGGCGAGGCCAGAGTTAATCATCACCTCCCCAGCGTCTGGGAAAGGACGACTCGGGGCGAAGGAGCGGGCGGGCAGCCCCTGGGAAAGTGAAACTCCTTCCTCGCCGCTCAGCCCCGCCAGCCAGAGGAGGGAAGCGAGGGGACCCTAAGCGCACTCGCTCCTCCAGCCAGCCCGGCGCAGCACGGGTCACGGAGTCGCTAACAACTACACTAATGCTCGTTTTTCACAAACTCATCATGAGAAGGAGACAAGTAGAAAGCCAGAGCTACTGAAAATAAAATAAGTGAGATCCCTCATTCGATTTAAAAAAAAAAAAAAAAAGCTACGACATTCCCATACCGGGAGTCGAACCCGGGCCGCCTGGGTGAAAACCAGGAATCCTAACCGCTAGACCATATGGGAAGTGCTGGTAGGGACACTGCCGTGACTCACCTGACAGACGCAGGCGCTACCGCTGCCTCTGCTCCACTTGCCCGCGCCGCCGCTCCCCCCTGTCGCCTTTGCGCCGCTGGAGCAGCCGCCGCCGCTGCCCACGCGCTCTCGGAGCGAAGAAACTAGCACAGCCCGTGCGCGCGGGCGTCGCGGGGGCGGGGCGGGGCCACTCCGCCGCCTCCGGAAAGTTCTGAGGCAAAGCCCAGCAACTCGCGGCCCCGAAACCAGCTGTTTCACCTTTCTTTTTTTAACTCCGCCAACGGCCCCCAGCCTACAGGTCCGGGTTGCTCCGCTGGTCAAAGGGCGTGCGGACTAGTTGGCAAAGTTGAGGGCGGCGACGTCTCGGGGAACAGCTGTTTGCGCTCGGGGCGGAGGCGGCGCGCGAGCTCCTTGGCCACGAGCCAGCGAGCCTAGAAGAAGGGTGGAGGTTCTGGATCCCAGGGGAAGAGAGAGAGTGAAGTCGGGATGATTCGGGAACTTGAGGCGTGAGGTTCCCGTCCTTCGGCTCAGGTCCCGTCGCGCTTTCACCCTTTCTCGGTGACCTCAACCCCTTTATACCGACCCCACCTCTCAGGATCCTGGAGTACCGCCCCTGTAGGGGGAGGGGAAGAGGAGGAGATTTCGAACGCGGATTGAGTCGTCTGGGCACCCGTAGTTGGGAACCGTGGAACACTGGTCCCGGGGAAAGAGGGAGGTGTCCGGGCTTGGAGGGTCGGGTGGGCCTCGCGGCGGGCCGGGCCTCACCTCGCCCCGCGCGGGGAACACGAGCTCGAGCCGGACCCGGGGGCGGCGCGCGGAGCGGCTGGTCCAGTCATGTGAGTCGGGTCTCAGGCTCTAAACAACGAAGTGTTGTTTCTCTGGGCGGCCCTTTCCCCGCGGGTCTCGCACTCCACCACCATCCCTCCCCACCTCCTCCTTTCGGCTGGAGGCGTGACGGAGGTGTTCTTAACTCGCTCGGGACTGTCACCAGACAGGCCGGGCCGGTTCTCTGGGCGGGTAGAAATGCTACCCTGCGGAGCGCCTTGGGGGCCTGAAGCACGGGCTTGGGGAGGAGGCTGGCGGCCAGTTGGGGTTAGACTGCCTCCCGGGAAGCAACCGGGTGCTCACTTACACTGTTGGGGGTCGCTAGCACCCTGTTCGATGCCGTAGCACTTGAACGTGGGGTGTTGTGAAACTTTAGGGTTGGACTTCGGCCACGGCTGCCCTCCTCCGCCTGGAAGAAACGGCCAGTCTTGGCTAGCGTGCTGACTTTTTTTTAAGTCTTGCCGGCTGAGAGGTCTCGGCTTTTCCAACTCTCTCTTGCCCTGAGGCTCGAGAACAAATTGTATTAGCTGATAGTCTCGGAGGAACCACAGTCTCTCACCTGAGGAGTCTTGTTCTTTGCTCTTTTAATGGAAAGAACTTGATTTAAAGCAAACTTTGAGTTTTTTCGGGCCTCCCATTACAACAGCTTCCAAAAATGCCAGAAAGACGTAAAGAAGATAAATCTTTTCCAAGATGTTTCTTATTTCTGATGGCAAATGAAAAGAAAAAAAAAACTTTTTAAAAACAGTTTTATGTAAGGGAGTTTTTTTTTTTAATTTTTTTTAACGTTTATTTATTTTTGAGACAGAGAGAGACAGAGCATGAACGGGGGAGGGTCAGAGAGAGGGAGACACAGAATCTGAAACAGGCTCCAGGCTCTGAGCTGTCAGCACAGAGCCCGACGCGGGGCTCGAACTCACGGAGTGTGAGATCGTGACCTGAGCCGAAGTCGGCCGCTTAACCGACTGAGCCACCCAGGCGCCCCTGTAAGGGAGTTTTAAATCCGGTGCAGACTTTTTTCCTTTTTACTGGCAACAATTTCGACTAACTGCTGCAGTGAGATAAATAATAAAATAAGACAACATTCAGTAGCAGGGGCTTATGATTGAAACTCTAAGAAAATGTAAAGCATGCACAATTTTACCTTTTTATATTATAAATAACCTTAGACTTGTTTTTACCTTTTTCAGGGCAGACTACTGGAAGTCGCAACCAAAGAAATTCTGTGATTACTGCAAGTGTTGGATAGCGGACAATAGGCCTGTATGATAATTACACTATAAGAGAATCTAATAATATTTTATTCACGTGTTCCTTTTTGTCTAAACTCAGCATTTACAAAGTACCTTCATATATATTGCTCTTGATTTTTCAAAGTTGAAGGATTTCTGTTGTCTTTTCATTTCTTGTAGGAGAGCTGTGAGCTTCCTTCTTTTTTATCAGCTTAAATTTGATTATATAGTAAGCCAAATTATTTCTCTATGGTCCTTCAGTGACATTCAGGAAATGGACATTGAGTGGGTAATCTCATCCATGTTTAGCCACACGATGTTTGTAATACTATCTGTAATACTATCTACTATCGTGTACAAAGAAACATAAAAGGACAAAGCCCTTAATGTGTAAAAAGGAGCAATTATTGTAGTTTATCTTGTTTCTTTTCTATTCTAATTAAATATATTTGCAGAATTTTATAGCTATAAATGGTTACATTTTTTTTTTTTTTAATTTTTTTTTTCAACGTTTATTTATTTCTGGGACAGAGAGAGACAGAGCATGAACGGGGGAGGAGCAGAGAGAGAGGGAGACACAGAATCGGAAACAGGCTCCAGGCTCTGAGCCATCAGCCCAGAGCCTGATGCGGGGCTCGAACTCATGGACCGCGAGATCGTGACCTGGCTGAAGTCGGATGCTTAACCGACTGCGCCACCCAGGCGCCCCTAAATGGTTACATTTTAAAGAATATCATTACCTCTTTCATGGGATATGAAAATAGCTTTGTTAAGTACTTTACTACCGTATCTCTTAATCTAGATTAAGCTTTTAAGGCATGAAACAAAAGCATCACTGATTCCCCCCCCTTCAAATACATGTCACAGCAATATGTATGTAGTACATAAATACCAGTGTATCTTTGAAATATATATTCATCTCCTTTTTACTTGATAGAGTTGCATGCACAAAAAAATAGTCCCATCTTTAGTAGTGTTGTATTTCTTTGGTAGATATTTATTATTGTCTACAAGGAGTTTGGGGATGTTTTTCTTCAGGGTTTTGTCTGGGTATTTGGTCTTTTGAGTAGTTGCTGACGTTTTCAACTATCTTGTTTAACTTAGGCCTTCCTTACACACGAATGCCAGAAATTTTTGAAATCTATGCATGTTACTGGTAGTTTCTCTTCTCTTCAGCTACCCAAGCAGTTCAATGAATTTTAGGAGTCACAAAGGGTAAATAATCCATTCTAGGATGTCTTTCTTATCCTTGGATTGTTAATATACATTGATTTGCCCTTTAATTAGAAGCAAAATTAATGTCTTTTGAATGGGCCTTTAATATTCTTTGTGTGGTATAATTTAGGAAAACCAGTATATGAAAAACAGAAGATGAACATTTGTTTTACAGTGTTACCATTTAAAGAGGAATTCACTTCAGTGAATTGTAGAAAATTTACCCAAACTTCCTTACTGTATACAACCAGACATTTGTAATTTAGGGAGCATTCCTGGCTGTTTTAAATAGGTAATAACATTCACTCACTCCACTGTCCCATCCAGTTACCATCATTCTTTGTAGGTTGCCACTTTTTTCATTTTCTTGTCTAATTTTTCCATTGTTTCTGTATGTATATAGAGGCTTCTATTCCAACGTACATAAAATGTAGGATACCATATACACTATCCTTCATAGTTTAGTGTGGTTTTTGTTTGTTAGTTTTTTTCATTGAACAGTAGATCCTGGAGCTTTCTCCATAGAGGGAGCTTTATTCTTTATGCCAGCAGCCAAATTTTGGTAGATAGTGCCAAATTGTCTTTCACAGGAGTTTTACATTTTGTATCATTACCACATTCTATACAAGTATTTGTTTACAATTTAGGAGGAATCCTTTACTGTCTACTTTTCTCCCAATTTGGAGGAATAAGGTTCTAAGGATTATTGTTTATTCTCTATGTCCCTTGCCTAATGTGGCAAATAGAGCAGTACAAATTCTAGGGACTTAACTGGTTTTGACTTTTTATGTTGAGAGGTGTTTCTTGAAGTTTTTTTTCCACTCCTCTTTTGGCTTCCTGTTTTGTTTGAGCCCTCATTACAATCATATTCACTGGATTAGTCATCAAGGGTGTCTTGTATTTTTCTTCATTGATATGGTCATCATAGTTTATTTTAAGCACCAAAGAAAACCTGGTCAGAGGGTATGATAATAAATAACATGGTTCAGTTCCCTAGCATCATTTGATAAAAAGGTCTCATTTGCTTTAAAATTATTCTTCTTTTTCCTGTCAATCATTTTTTATTTCAATCTTGTTATGTTACATTCCCAAATTTACTGTTACTTATTTGGTATGAACATTATGATATTTTACGTAGCTTTCCTTTGCATTTTCTCTTTTATTCATTTTCAAGAGTGTTGAATTTCACGAAAGAGGAAAGAATCATAAGGAAAATGTGGCAAAGAGGATCAGTGAGGTAATTTAGTTTATTTCTTTCTTTGCTAATTTTTCTGTGTAAATATCAGTACTTCACCTGGCTTTCACTTTTATATGTGTCTTCCATAGATTAAACAGAAAAGCCTGGATAAGGCAAAGGAAGAAGAAAAGGCATCAAAGGAGTTTGCCGCAATGGAGGCAGCTGCCCTGAAAGCCTACCAAGAGGATTTGAAAAGACTTGGCTTAGAGTCAGGTAAAAAAGCAGCCAGCATGTTTTAAAACTAACATCAGAGGTCATGCTAAGTGAGCTTTTATTGTTTCCATAAAGAGGTTATACACTCAGGGTATACGCTTAGTGCTTTTCCTATGCATCATAGCTGTATTTAGACTGTGGGACTTTACTCCTGCACTTTGTTTTACTTTAAAGCTTCATCTTTTAACACCTTCATTCACAACCATACCATTTTGGTAGTTAGCTAGTTCCTAGTTCTGTTTTAGATCAGTGTTCATTTCAGAGACAATTGAGTGTTTTAGGTATTTGGCTAAAAGGAACTATTCATTAAAAAATAGGCCTTTCATTATACCCACTATTCACTTTATCCATATGGTCAAAACTATAAATTATGTTTGTTTATGTAGTTGAGTTATAATGAATTAGCCTTTTGTGGACAAATTTACTGATTTTACCACTAGAAGGTAGATAATCTTTTTAATTGGATAAATTTGACATGTAAATTTGACATGTATAAGTGTAAGGTATGCAGGTGTTATTCTGATACATTTATATATAATGTGATTGCTGCTTTACCAGTATTTATCACATTACCTAATGACAGTATTGTTGTCTATATTCATTATACTGTGTATTAAATCTCTATGGCTTATATACTTACTACTTCTTGCCAGTTTGTACCCTTAAACAATATCAGCCTTAACCCTTCCGATCCCCTGTTCCCTGGTAACAACAATTTTGCTTTCTGGTTTTTAGGAGTTTGACTTTTTTTAGATTCTACTTATAGGTGATATCATACAGTATGCTTGTCTTTTCTTTGACTTGTCTCATGTATTAGCATATTATGCTCAGGGTCCATCCATGTTGTTGCAAATGACAGGATATCCTCCTTTCTCGTGCCTGCATAGTATTCCATTATATATATGTACTACATCTTTTTTGTCTATTCATCTGTTGATGGGCATTTAGGTATGGCCATACTTTGGCTCTTGTGAGTAATGCTGCAGTAAGTGTGGGAGTGCATGTATCTTTTTGAAATCCTATTTACATTTCCTTTGGATATATACCCAGAAGTGGAACTGGTGGGTCAGATCATAGATCTATTTTTATTTTTTTGAGGAACCTCCATATGTTCTCCATAGTGGTTAGACCAGTTTACATATAATTCTTATATAAGGATACCTTTTTTTATCTCATAGTCACCAAGAAGGTAAATAATCTGAAGGTTTGAGGAGAACTCAGTTCCAGATAAAAGGCATTTATTTAAGTACAGTGTATGTATCTTGTTGATGAATTTAGGCTTTAACTCGGGAACATTTCTGTCAGCATTTCTTCCATGACAAATCCACTGTCCTTAAACCAGGCAGATAAGCAGTCCCAGTTGTTGATCTTGCATAATAGTTGAGATAGTCAACCTGGAATGGTATTGTTCATTCTCTGAAAACTTCTTTCCGTGAAGTTTTTAAGCAGAATAAGAAGTTAATTGGCATTGCCCTCATCAGATAAGGACAGTTGTAACCAGACTTTGAAAATATTATCCTAGGGGCACCTGGGTGGCTCAGTCGGTTGAGCATCCAACTCTTGGTTTAGGCTCAGGTCATGATCTCACAGTTCGCGGGTTCAAGCCCCACATCGGGCTGCACGGAGCCTGTTTAGGATTCTCTCTCTCTCCCTCTATCTATCCCTCCCCAACTCATGCTGTCTCTCTCAAAATAAATAAAAAGAAAAAAACTTTAAAAAAATACATGTGTTAAAAATATTAACCTAGACATTGTTAATTAAAAGGAAGGGGTCGGGGCTGTATTTCCAATAAAGGATAAAACTGTATGTTTAAAGGAAAAAAAGGATGAAGGTGTTCCTGCAGAATTAAAGAGGAGTAGTTGAAAATTGATCTCACCAATTACATGGATTGGGAAGTTTTGTTATGCTGCCCTGCGAGCAAATAAATCTTAGCATTTTGTATTTAAATGTGTTTAAATAGAATTTTTTCTATTAAATATTTTTCATAGCCTTGTTTGCCTAAATAGGGTATACATTTCTCTAAAAGTATAATAATGCAGTACAAAGAAAAAAGAGTTTTAAAAACTAACTTCTTTTAAGATTTTCCCAAACATCTTTAGAATTTTCTTTCTTAAGTTATACTCCAAATTTTATGTTACAGTTTTTTGGAGGTTGTCTCATTTTTTCCTTCAATGATATGTCAAGTACTTCTTTTCCTTTAAACAATTAAGGATGTACATCATTTTTAGTGGCTACAGAGTGGTTAGGAGCACAGGCTTTGGAATTCACCAGAATTGCCATTTGCTAGCTATACAACCTTTGATTTTCATAAAAACTAAATAATGTAGTGGTATAAACTGTTTATTATAGACCATTTGTAGCAAGTGTTTAATAAAGGGTGTAAAATGCCATAAAAGTGGGATTTCTCTTCCTAACCTTTAGGTTGCTTAGAGTTTTCACTGTTAGAAAGAATGCTTCAGTGAGCACCCGTATGCAAGCATGTTTTCACATTTATTTTTGTAGGTTTAAGCTCTAGAGGTAAGACTGCAGAATTTAAGTATGAATATATTTTATATGTTGATAGCTGATACCAAGCTGTCTCCAGAAATGTTGGGCTAATTTATACTTTTGTAGAAGTAACTTATTAAGTTATTTGGTAATAACTGGCTAATGTTTTTACAAAAAATTAAAGCCATTAAAACTACTCTTATCCCGCCCATGTAAATACCTAATGGATTAGATTAACTGTATTTGATTATTCTTTTCAGTACTTACTGATCTAATGCAGAAGAAAATTACATTTATTTATGTTTCTTTGAATATTGGTGAATGTATGTATTGTCTTGATTATCTTTGTACTTTTTGTCCATCTTCTGTTAGAATTTTGGATTTGTTTATAAGGGATCTTTGCTATGAACATTAACCCTGTGTCATATTTGTTGTAAATGTTTATTATTTGTCTTTCTTTTTTTTTAAATCTTAACTCCATTATAATTAACATAGTATATTCTTTTATTTTTTTTAATTTTTGATATACAGAATATTTGGATTCGTATCTAGTTAAGTTTAACATTATTTTACTTCATGTTTTTTTTTTTATGTGTTTCTTTGATGTGAAAGATTAATATCAAGACATGGGAGGGACCATGGATTGGGGAATAGCTTTACTTTTTTCCAAGTAATTAACCAGAGTAAGTTTTAATATCTGGTAGAAGAGCTTCCCCTTAGCATTTCTCTTTTATAATTATAGGTATTTGTACATATTTGGTTTTCCAGATGAGCTTTATAATAACCTATGAAGTTCCCAAAAGAATCTTCTTGTCAAGCTTTTGATTGAAATAACAGTATTGTCTTATACCAGAAAAAAAGGTTGCATTGGTACTTCACCTTTCTTATGTCTTTTTCTTTAGAAATTTCAGAGCCAAGCATATCACCAGTAACAAGTACTGTCCCGCCAACCTCTGCATCAAATCAGCAGAAGGAAAAGAAGAAGAGGAAAAAAGACCCTTCAAAGGGAAGATGGGTAGAAGGCATAACCTCTGAGGGTTACCATTACTATTATGATCTCATCACAGGAGGTAGGTCATTTAGGCATAGAAACAGTAAGGAATAATAACTGACAGTTAATTTTGTGTTAATATTAGCACATGTAAGCAGTAGAAGAGTGTAGCTTTACATCTTTGCCACAGTAGTAAAAAAGTTATGTGCCCTTTAAATACCCTTTTTGGGGCACCTTGGTGGCTCAGTTGGTTAAGTATCTGACTCTTGATTTCGGTTTAGGTCGTGATCTCATGGTTCCCGAGATTGAGTCTGGCAAGCTTTTTGGGATTCTCTCTCTCCCTCTTTCTTTGTCCCTTTCCTGCTCACTCCCCCTTGCTCCTCCCCCCCTCACATAAATGAATAAATAAATAAGTATACAAATAAGTATATAGTTATATATATATATTATCCTTTTAGAATGACCTAACATCATACTTCATTAAAGCCTTAAGAATGGATTCCTTACAAATAAGTTAAAACTATATTTTTCTCAAAACTTTCCAAAACTATGAACTAAATGGAAATAAAATAAAACATTTTACATAGAAGTAAGGCGTTTCAGATCCACTTTGTAAATTGCAGGGGTTCTTAAAATACTCGGTCAGAAAGATTTTTCTATCCAAAAGTGGACTGGGAACCAGAAGCCATTTTCTTTTTTTATGTAGCTGTCTTGATTACCTAGTAAAGAACTACCCCGTCCACCCCAGATTAATGCTTTGGGTATCACTTTCTAATAAAATACTTAATGGTATTTTCAAGTGAGAATATCAAAAACATTTTTTTGTTTTCCTTTCAAACTAAATGTATTGGGGATTTTTGTTCCATATAAATTCTGAGATAAATACATTTTTTTGTACATTTATGAAGCATCTTACTCTCAGAAACATAAAATTTAAGGTTAGAAATAAGCATGATAAAAGGAGGAATTTTAAAGTGTTACAGTATAGAGATATAAGTAAGATTATAAAGGAACTCAGAATACTGAGGTATTAATTGTGATTATGTGGATCTGACAGATCATCACAGAAATTGCTTTTGAGCTGATCTGTAAGATGAGAGGATCAGGGGGGCCCTGGGTGGCTCAGGCAGTTAAGTATCTGACTTGGGCTCAGGTCATGATCTCACAGTTTGTGAGTTCGAGCCTTGCATCAGGCTCTCTGCTGTCAGCAGCAGAGCTGGCTTTGGGTCTCTGTCTCCCTCTGTCTCTCATCCACATGTGCACACACATTCTCTCTCTCTCAAAAATAAATAAATATTAAAAAAAAAAACAAACAAACAGATGAGAGCATCAGGAATGATGTCTTATTCACTATTTGCATCCCTAGCACCAAACCCAGGGCCTAGCATGGTACAGTTTATGGATATTGATTGAAAAAAGATTATATACTAGGTTGCTATAAGGGTAAAGCAAGCTTTCTAAACAGGTGTGATATGAAGCTTTAAAAAGTTTGAAAGTTTAGGGAATAGTCATCTGGTGGAGGTAAAACACACAGTTCTTTGAAGATGTCCTAGCAGAAGAAAGAGGCTGGAAAAATAGATTGGTGCCATATCATGGAGGATTAGGAGGATAATGCTGCCATTTACTGAGGTATGAAAGAAGGAAAGCCAGAAAAAAGTTAAGTAAGAATGATCAGAAAGGAAATGAGATCAGAGTTAACCATGAAGAAAACCTTGGGTTACAAGTATTATTGTAATTGTTATGATTTATTTAGAATCACAGTATTGGACTACATAGGAATAGTATTAATCACTCACCGTTTACACTGAGCCTTAAGAGAAGTGCATATGAGATAGTTCAGCAGTGAACCGTGATTGTATGCTAGAGATCATCAGTCTTGCTCAAATTTACATTGAAACTACTAATTATGTGTTCCTTCTAAATCCTATTGTCTGCTTCCTTTGTCTGCCATCCTACTGTATATACTCTTGTTCTCAGCAAGACCCTTGAACAACACAGGTATTAGGGGCACTGAAAATCTCCTTATAACTTTTTTTAAACTACAGCTGACATGCAATGTTATATTAGTTTCAGATGTACAAAACAGTGATTTGACAATTCTGTACATTAACCGATGCTCTCCACAAGTGTAGTCACCATACAGCATTATTGCAGTATTATTGGCTGTATTCCCTTTGCTGTACTTTTCTTCATCTCTATGGCTTATTTATTTTATAACTGGAACTCTGAACCTGTTAATCACCTTCACTTGTTTTATCTATCCTCCTTCTCCCTCCTTCTGTAACCACCAGTACTCAGTATTTAAGAGTCTGATTTGTTTTGTTGTTTTTTTTAGACTACACATGTAAATGAAATTATATGGTATTTGTCTTTCTCTGACTTACTTCACTTAGCATAATATTCTCTAGGTTCATCCATGCTGTCACAAATGGCAAAATTTTATTTTTTTATGGCGAAGTAATATTCCATTGTGTGTGTGTGCATGTGTGTGTGAGAGAGAGAGTTGTGAGAGAGCTATGTATCTCACATTTTTATCCATTCATCTATCAGTGAACACTTAGGTTGCTTCTATATCCTGGCTATTATAAATAAATGCTGCAATAAACATAGGGTACGTATATCTTTTCGAGTTAGTGTTTCATTTTCTTTGGATATATGTCTGTAGTGGAATTACAGGATCATAGGGTATTTTATAACTTTTGACTCCCCAAAAACTTAACTACTAATAGCCTATTGTTGACTGGAAGCCTTACGGATAACACAGTCAATTGACACATATTTTGTGTATGTGTTGTATACTGTATTCTTACAGTAATACCTTTTTCTTAATTTTTTCATTTCTAAACTACATGGTTCATCTAATTTTTTCAAATTGTCACAAATCTCTAAAAAAATTTCTCAGTTTATTAATTGAAAAAAATTTGCTTATAAGTGGACCCATGCAGTTCAAACTCCTGTTGTTCAAGGGTCACCTATACTTATTTTTTCCTGCATCCTTCATCTTGTTCCTCTTCTGAGTCCTTCTTTCTATCCCTCACTTTCCCCTCCCCAGGATGTTAAACTGCCATCTCATACCTTCAAAACTTACCAAGCCTGGGGTGCCTGCCTGGCTCAGTCTGAAGACCATGTGACTCTTGATCTCTGGGTTGTGAATTCAAGCCCCAAACTGGGTGTAGAGATTACTAACAAAAAAATAAATAAAAAACTTAAAAACTTTTCAAGCCTGAATTCCGTGAAGTCTTTAGGAGAAGTCCTACCTGTCTCTAATAATTCCTTTGAAAGTACCAGTAATTTCTAATCATTCAGTTCTTCCTTCTTGGTTAAATATTATTCAAATGTGTTCTATACAGTATTACTGGGATATATGTTCTTTTTATTTTTCAGTTATATTTTTAATTATAGATCTGCAGTGTTTTGTACACATTGAATATCTTGTAAATTTTTGCCAATTTTTTTGAAGTTTTTCTTCTTTTTAAGCGAAAAAATTTTGTAAATGCAATATATTTTGCTTTAAGCATCCCAGTGGGAGAGACCTGAAGGATTTCAAGGAAACTTAAAAAAGGTAACTGAAGCACATTGATAGTGTCTTTGCTTTATTCTTTAAACTGATTGGTTCCCGGGGTTTTTATAGAGTTGTCGTAAGCTAATTTTCTTCCAAATAAGCCCTTTCTACACACTTTGTTCCTTTATTTCTTTAATTCTTTTGTGAGAAGGCTGGGTGGAAGAAGAAAAGTGGTATCTACCTAAAAACTCCATGTAGGGCAAATATCAGTTGGTTGACAGTCAGTTGCCATTCAGATGTCCCTACCCGTCTGCAAAGAATTGTTCCTGGCTTTCAGAGGTGAGATAGTCTCTCCCTGAGAGTTGGCTCAGTAGTAACACAAACCAAGCTTCCTGACCATAGTCAGTACTGTCACCCCTAACTCCTGGTGTCAAGAGAAAAGGAAAGGTAGTTGACTCTGCCTTAGTTATTTAACATAGTAAAACTACATCATTGTCTTCAGTTTATGCTTTTTTTTTCCCCTCCCAATAGACAACAGGGAAGACTGTTTGGGTAGAAGGTTTAAGCGAAGATGGTTATACCTACTATTATAATACAGAAACAGGAGGTAAGTATTACCTTTGATTATTCTAACTATATAGAATTGTACTTGAAACTGCTTAGTAGCCTGCTGATAAAGGGAACTTGGGGGTTTTAGTATAGTGATAAACATGTTTCTATAGCAAGTATGTATTACTTTTTGTTGTTTGAAAACAATACAATAGAAAAGCAGAAAGATTCTCATTTATAATATACTGTACTGCTTATTATTCTCAATTGATACCCCATTCACAAATTTTAAAAATCATTTTTACTTTCACTGCCATTGATTTTTATTGTGACAGCTATAGGAGTATAATCATTAACTTGGAAGGTACCTTAGAAATCATCTAATTCAACTTGCCTTTTTTCCTTTTCTAAAAATCAAAACAAGCTATTTTAGCAGTGGCTGAGATTGTCAAATTTTCATTTTTACTAATTCAATAACATTTTGGTTAATATGAATATAAAATATAACTACTGTTACCTAGTTATTATGTAGGTTTTTCAAATTAAGATTTTATCTAATTTAATTTTATAAAATGGGTTATCAAGTAATTGTATTTAATTTCTACTATAATTAAATTTACCAGGATGTGTATAGTATCAATATAACTTTAGGAGACTTTATTAATCAAATTTCTACTATCGAAAACCCTCTACAATACCATTAAATCTTTTAGGGGGAAGAGGCCTTCTTAGCCTCCAAGTAGATACCTAGCCTGCCCAGTGATAGTAATCATTCTATCTCAGTAAGATTGCAGTACTGAGTCTTTCTAAAGATAAAATAATATAGTGATACAGCTAGAGAGTTGGATCTGAGTTTAATGCATAGCTTCTTCCCTTAGCAGCTATATGATTGTGGGCAAGTAACTAAACCTATAACTTCTCTTATGTAAAGTAGAAGTGATTATATGTACTGTCTTTGGTCATGAGGGTCAAGTATCTATAGTTCTCAGAACAGTACCTGATACATAGTAGGTGCTTAAGTTATTTACTTCCTGAAAGTTTTTTTATTTATGTGAAATATAGATAAGGAAATAATGTTTTTATTAATGTTGGAAAGCATCCTTTTTTTTTTTTTTTGTAAGATTTTATTTTTAAGTAATCTCTACACCCAACATGGGGCTCAAACTAACTCATAATCCCCAGATCAAGAGTTGCACACTCCACCAACTGAGCCAGCCAGGTGCCCCGGAAACCATCCTCTTTAATAAGAGACAAATTGATTTGCCCTCAAACAGTTCCAGTTTATGTCTAGATGAGTATAATTATTAATAGAGCCCCTTTCACTCTTAAAAACTGTCTCAGTTGGGCAGTAAATCTTAGAATCCCTTTTCCTTTTATTAAATGAAAAATAGAGAATAACTGCAAGATAATTAGAAATGCTATCATTTCTAGACCACTGGATGGCAGTAGAATTCAGTGGAGATTATTTTTTTCCTAGTATAAAAATGACAAATTATATTCATTCAGATCTTCACTGTATGATTTCACTTTGTGAGAATCCCAGGAAATCTTTGTGATAAATAAAGATTTATAAACTCTAGGAAATCTGATATGTGTTCAATATCACATATTGGTGTAAGTTATGAGAGTCTTTAGAAGGTATTGCCCAATTCTTAGGTCTCTTTCCTTTGGGGCTGTAGTTATACATCTAGAGAATCCAGATTGAAATCAGCTTCTAAAAGGTAAAAGAGCAAGAGCTTTGGAAACTCTTATTTTAAGTTATCTTCTTAAATGAATGATGGTGGGAAATAGATGCAATGTTGTTATTTAATACTATATTGTAAAAAAAAATAAAAGGTTAAAAAAAGTAATGTATTTTAAGCGATAGGGAATGTTATATCGGGAGTTATTTCTGAATAGAATTGGTAATAAGTAAATAACACGACTATTAAAATGTGTTGAATAGAATCCAAATGGGAAAAACCTGATGATTTCATTCCACATTCTGGCGACCTGCTTTCTAGTAAAGTCAATGAAAAGTCACTTGATACCCTAGAAGAGTCCAAATCATCAGATTCTCATAGTGATTCTGATGGGGAGCAGGAAGCAGAAAAAGGAGAGGCCTCTACAGAAACACAAAAGCCAAAAATAAAGTTTAAGGTAGGTTCTTGTTTTATTCTTTACAAAACTGTAACAATTTAAAGCCTGACAGACTTACCTAGTTTTCTGGTGGAAGATAGAAATAAAACCAAGACATGTATTTTTAGCAAATGGATAGATGGTTATTACCATTTATTAGTATCCGTTTGGTAGCAAGACAATCAGTCAATTGTCCTCATTAACTGTCCTCTCCTCATTAGGAGTTAGACCGCCTAAGTTTCAAATATCTCTAACATCCAGAGAGCTGTCTGAACATACAAGGTTGAGTATCTAGGCTAGAACTACTAATTTGAGTATTACCAGCTTACTAGTAGTAATTTAAATCTCAGATTGGGTGAGATAACCTAGGAAAATGATTTTGGGTAACATTAAACGTCTCAGTGACTGGCAGGGAAAGAGGAGCCCACAATGAAAAGAGTGGCTAGAAAGTTATACAGAGAAGCAAAATCTAATATCCAAGAAGCCAAAGGAATAGAGAACATCAAGGATTAATTAGGTCTAGGAAAAGAAAAATGTCCATTGAATTTTACAATAAAGAAGGCCTTAAGCCCTTCCTGCAGTTTTACCAGAGTTTGGGGTGGTGGAACTCAGATTGTATTGTACAGCTGAAACTAGTATTATACTATATATTAACTAACTGGAATTTGAATAAAAATTTAAAAAAAAGATTTTAGAGGAAGGACAACTGTTTCACGGTGTATATGTGGTTTGGATATGAAATGAAAAGTAGAAATTAGTTGACAGGCTGATGGCTGCACATTGACTCTTAATCATGAGAGGTTTATGGTGGTGATGTGTTAAGAGGGACTCCACAAAGGAGATAGAAAGGGGGTACCAACAAGGGTAGGCAGGCTGGTCATGGAGCAAGGAATAAACTCATTTTCGGTAAGAAGATAAGGTTTTCCTTTAAGATGTAGGACTATGGATGAGTTGGTATCAGGGAAGAAATTGAGAGTCATACCCTTTTAGCCTTAGTTTACTCATTCATAAAGAAATTAAGATTGCTTGCTGAGAGTGAGGAGCTTTGAAGAGCTTGACAACACTAATGGATTGAAACAGTCACTCAGCTGGGGTGTGAGACGAATTGAACCAAGTAATAGGATTCACAGGTAGTACTGAGTCCCCAGCCATAGCCAGAAAGTAAAATCAGTCATTTCTGTAGTATTTTAGTCCTCCTTTTGTGATCTTTCCAGCAGGAGCTCAGGTGGCAAGGCAAAAATGACACATAGCATTGATTCATGGTTGACATTACTGACCTGAGAAGTGAAGAAAATTCAGTGATGCTGGAGAGAGGGTATTTTGAGACCACATATAGGATCTCATCATAGTTTTGATTTGTATTTCCATGATGATGAGTGATGCTGAGCATCTTTTCATGTGTCTATTGGCCATCTGGATGTCTTCTTTGCAAAAATATCTGTTCATGTCTTCTGCCCATTTTTTCAATTATTTGTTTTTTGGATGTTTGTATAAGTTCTTTATGTATTTTAGATATTAACCATTTATGGGATGTGTCATCTTCAAATATTTTCTCCCATTAAGTAGGTTACCTTTTAGTTTTGTTGATTGTTTGCTTTGCTATGCAGAAACTATTTATTTTGATATAGTCCCAGTAGTTTATTTTTGCTATTTTTTCCCTTCCCTCAGGAGACATATCTAGAAAATGTTGCTACAGCCCATATCAGCAACATTACCACCTATGTTCTTTTCTAGGATTTTTATGGTTTTAGGTCTCACATTTAGGCTTTTAATCCATTTTGAATTTTTTTTTGTGTATGGTTTAAGAAAATGGTCCAGTTTCATTTTTTTGCATGGAGCTGACCGGTTTTCCCAACACCATTTATTGTAAAGTCTTTTTCCCATTGTATAGTCTTTCCTGCTTTGTCAGAGATTAATTGACCATATAATTGTGGGTTCATTTCCGGCTTTTCTGTTTTGTTCCGTGGATCCAAGTGTCTATTTCTGTGCCAGTACCATACTCTTTTGATCACTACAGCTTTGTAATACAACTTGAAGTCTGTGATTTTTTTTTCCCCTTTTAGTAACACTTGACACACCAATGATTGGATAAGTCTGTGTTGAAATTTTTTAGGTCCTATACAATAGATAGTCATGGGAACAAAGATATTTAAGGGTGCAGGCAAAAATATATATTTCTAAAATGATTCCCTGTGGACATGGAACTCTGTAATGAAGGATGTAAAATAAAATCTGTCAGCATCACTGATCATCAGGGAAATGCAAATAAAAAGTATAAGGAGTGGGGCACCTGGGTGACTCAGTCAGTTGAGTGTCCCACTTTGGCTCAGGTAATGATCTTGTAGTTCACGAGTTCGAGCCCCGCATCAGGCTCTGTGCTGACAGCTTGGAGCCTGGAGCCTACTTTGGATTCTGTTGTCTCCCTGTCTCTCTGCCCCTCCCCCACTTACACTCTGTCTCTCTCTCAAACATAAACAAACATAAACAAAAAAAATTTTTTAAATAAAAAGTACAAGGAGATACCACTTCACAGCTCCCAGAATAGCTAAAATCAAAAACAATAAACAGGTCTTGGCAAGGATGTAGAGAAAAAGGAACCCTCTCACACTGTTGTTAGGAATGCAAACTGGTGGAGCCATTGTGGAAAACAGTATGGAGGTTCCTCAAAAAAATTAAAAATAGAACTACCCTAGGATCCAGTAATTACACTACTGGGTATTTATCCAAAAAATACACAAACTCAGAGGGTTACATGCACCTGTATGTTTATTACAACATTATTTACAATAGCCAAACTATGGAAGCACCCCAAGTGCTCATGGATAAAGAAGATGTGTATATATAGTGTATATATACACAGTGGAATATTATTTGGCCATAAAAAAGGAGTGAAATCTTGCCATTTGCAAAGAAATGGATGGAGCTAGAAAGTATAATGGTAAGCAAAATAAGTCAGTCACAGGAAGACGAATGCTATATTATTTCATTTGTATGTAGAATTTAAGAAACAACGCAAATGGGCAAAGGAAAAAAAGACAAACCAGGAAACTGAACCTTAACTATAGAGAATAAGCTGATAGTTACCAGAGGGAAGGTGGGTGGGGGGATGGATAGTTTATGGGGATTAAAGAATACACTTCCAATGTTTTATTTATTTATTTTTTCAACGTTTATTTATTTTTGGGACAGAGAGAGACAGAGCATGAACGGGGGAGGGGCAGAGAGAGAGGGAGACACAGAATCGGAAACAGGCTCCAGGCTCTGAGCCATCAGCCCAGAGCCCGACGCGGGGCTCGAACTCACGGACCGCGAGATCGTGACCTGGCTGAAGTCGGACGCTTAACCGACTGCGCCACCCAGGTGCCTGCCCCACACTTCCAATGTTTTAAAGAATGATCAAAAATAAATAAAATGATTCACTATGGATGTGGATCTCTGTAATGATGAGGTCAGCAAACTAAGGACATAAAGAGAAGTTAAGGCATTAGAGATGGTAATGAGGTTATAGACAGGAGGTAAGGAAGGGAGGAAGCCAGAAGAATAACTTACTGTAGTTAGAAGGGGGGACTTTTAGAGTTTAAAATTTCACAAGTGGGACATTTTTGAGTGATGACATAATTCAAATTAAAAAGGAACATAGATGTGAGGATTTACTATTTGAATACTACCTATGTACTAGGCGCTATGTATGATGGAAAGTATATAACGTTAGGTGACTGAAATATAGCGAAAGGCACAGTCCTTGATTTTGGGGCTCACAAAACAGGCTAGGGAATTTTTAAGGTCCAAAATGATGAGTTGAATAGGAAGAACATGGTAGAAAACAACAACAAAAAATATGGTAAAGACATCAGTGTATACGGGATAGTGGCCAAAGGTCATTAGCTCATGTAAGGAAGCATGGAAGACAACTCTATAGGAGGTGATATACGCTCCAGAGAAGGAGGCATTTATTACATTGCATTAGAATCAAAGCATAAATTATGATCTCTAAAAATCTGTTATTAAAAAGAAGTCAGAGCTTGGAAACAGTGAAGAGAATGCTAAAAGCAGATGCTGCTTCCTATCTTTATGATGGAACAGCATGAGGGAATGAGTTAATATCCACTTAAAGAATTACAGAACAGTGTCCTAGGATCACCACACATGGTTGTGCATTTTGAAAAGAGGCTGAAATCTAGTGCATGGTCCCTTTGCCCAACTGGATCGTAGGGCTTTGTTATTCCAGATGAAGGGGTGCCATAAGAATACCAACCCTAGCCAGGGGCTCCCATAGGACCTGCTTCTCTCTCAAGGGTGTGTCTTTTCTCATTTCATAGTTAGCAGTTATTGACTCCACTGAGGCTTTGGCACTGTCCTCAATGTAAAGACGATTTCAGTTAAGACTGATAGGTTGAGGGAGTTCTTTACAAAGACAATGAGTATAGAAAGGTTTAATGACATGGCATTAAACTCAGAAAAGGTACAGTGTAAGGGGAGATGACTGTAGAATATGTAAGTAAGGAGGGAAGGCAGAAAAGAGTATTAAAAAGGCCAGTGTATGTCTTTAATGGTGGAATGTTAATACAATTGTTTTTAAAAGCCAGCCTTAGTAGCACCTGTGCGGCTCAGTTGTTTGAGCGTCCAGCTCTTAGTTTTGGCTCAGATCATGATCTCACGATTAGTGAGTTCGAGCCCCGAGTCAGTGCTTGGGATTCTCTGTCTCCTTCTCTCTCTGCCCCTCCCTGACTCGCTCTGTCTCTGTCTCTCTCAAAATAAATAACCTTTAAATAAATATATGCATCCATACATATATACATAACAGCCTTGACCATGATGTCTTATCATTTTAGACATAATAAAAAACCTAATCAAGCATTAAAATTCTTTTATGTATATTTGTTGTTATGTGCAAATTAAAAATACTGAGGTAATGTACTATTTAAATCAATAATAAGACTATGTTAAAGAAATTGCATCCTTGGGGCGCCTGGGTGGCGCGGTCGGTTAAGCCTCCGACTTCAGCCAGGTCACGATCTCGCGGTCCGTGAGTTCGAGCCCCGCGTCGGGCTCTGGGCTGATGGCTCAGAGCCTGGAGCCTGTTTCCGATTCTGTGTCTCCCTCTCTCTCTGCCCCTCCCCCGTTCATGCTCTGTCTCTCTCTCTCCCAAAAACAAATAAACGTTGAAAAAAAAAATTAAAAAAAAAAAAAAAAAAAGAAATTGCATCCTTATAATTTTGCTTAAAATATGTTTTTTCTTTGGCATTTCAGGAAAAAAATAAAAGTAGTGACAAAGGAACTGAACCAGAAACACAGAAAGAAAAAACTACCCAAGAGCAAAATTCATCAGGTCCAAATGAAGAAAAATCCAAAGCTCCTAAAAAATCAAACCCATATGGAGAATGGCAAGAAATTAAACAAGAAGTTGAGTCTCAGTAAGTACCTGAAACTTAACCCACTCTTCCTATAAATTGTATTGTATATCTCAGTACTTCCTTCCATACATTGCAGTAACTCATTTTAAGGATAAGGTGCTCTTGGAAAGTGTGGCTCATTTCTTTTATTTCTAGAATGGTTTTATTTCTTCTAACTAAGTATTCTTAAATATTTTAAAATGTAAACTGTGGTTATTTAAAAAGAATTTTTTTTTAATGTTTATTTTTGAGACAGAGACAGAGCATGA